CACTGTGTGTGTGTTACACAGGCAGCAAACACAGTGCTCATGTGTTACACAGGGAGCACTGTGTGTCACACGGCCAGCACACTGTGTGTGTGTGTCACACTGCCAGCACACTGTGTGTGTTTTACTGCAAACAAACACACTGCTCGTGTGTTGTACGGCCAGCAAAGGAGCACAGACAGGTGAAATGAGTTCAGTGAGTCATGGCAAAACTGGATCTGGCAGATAACAGCCAGCCTGGCTGTTAGGTAAGCATGTTTGCTCCAGGTAACATTCCTCGATCCTGTGATGAGAACAAGGGCTCAATGCTGCACCTTCAACCCAGGGCTGTGCCAGGGGTTGTTTCCACAGGCTGCTCACTCCAGCCAGCTTTCTGCTCAAGGAAATGAATGGAAATGTGCAGATCACCCCTTAGAACCCCATATCCATACTTGAGAGATAGAGAAGAATCAAGGGTATGTGCCCAACAAAACTGGGAGTCACCACCATCACCTGAACTGGCTGCACCAGTTATCATCACAAAGTCGAACTGTCACAATAAGCACGGCACTCTGGCACTGCTGTCCTCAGAACTGCAGTGTACCTGGAAGCCCCTGGAAATGGATAAACTCGCACTGTGTGTTGGGAGAATCCCAGGTGGGTGTGCTGCCTGCAGCAGCCAGCGAGGCCAAGGCCACACAGCCCCGGGGATGCTGGGGACCTGTGTGTGCACCCTGGGGAGACAGAAGCCCCACAAGGTTTCTGAAGATGCATCCCAACATTATACTGATGAGATCTGTTGAAAGACAACACTGAGACCCCTCACTGAGCACAGCACTGAGCCACTGCCCGACCACGGACGCTGGGTCTGAGCAGGTTCTCATCCTCACCCACTGGCACAAGGAAGGTGGCAGCCCAGCCAAAGGAAACCTTCCTGGCCACCACACACCATTATCACTTCCAGGCAATTAAGCCTGCCCAAATGGCAGGTAGGTGAGATGGAAAAGCCCAGAACTGTGCTTGCTGCGGGGTCACTGCCTGTGCTGGCACCACTCAGGAAAGAAATGGTGTGAATGAACTGTGCAGCATCCAGAGAGCAGCAAACACACGCTGGACAGTTCACAGATGAGTATCTGTGGGAAAAACCCTAAGAAAACAAGTATCAGTTACTTGCAATTATAAAGAAATTTATTTTTCTTAGATCATGAAGCATTCTTGGATTAACCTAAATTCAAAGAAATCAACACCCTCTAATCCAAGTCAAATGTCTCTGGAGCTTGCACATAACAGACAGGAAAAGGAGCCCAGGCTGTGGGTTTGTGCCCATGTAAATGAGTGTTTATATGCCTGGGAGGCACATGCTTACAGCAAGAGGGTTACAACAGCAGGCACCGCTGTCAGCTGCAGACCCAGCAGCCTTTAGACGAGTTCAGTGTATATTTTTTAATGCTGTTTCCAAAATGGATTCATTTTCAGGCCATACTGGACGCCTGGAGCTCCACAGTGTAACTGGGGCTATAACACAGACCATAACACTTCAGAACACAAGATTTCAAGGGAAAGGAGAGGAAGAAGGCAAGGCAAGGAAGCCAACGCAATCCTACTGTTCTTACTCATTACTCCCCAGCCTTTCCCAGCTGTTCCTGCTTGTGCCCTCCCCTGACATCTTCCTGCCACCCAAAGGTCACTGCGGGGCTCCTCCCCCCCGTGCCACAGTTTTCCTGGTGCTCAGACTTCCCTGAAGTGGCCACGTTTGCACTGACGCTGCTGGTCCTGCAGCCAGCCCAGCCCTCAGGTGTCCGTGCAGGTGACTGTGTCCCCCAGCAGCACGCAGAGCCCACGGCTTTGTGTAACACCACATCCCCGCACATCCCTGCGAGCTGAGAAACCTGCAGGATGTCTTTGCTGTGTTACCCTGCCCATACACCCTGCTCAGCAGCAGCTTCTGCCTCTCAAGTAGTCCAGCACCACAGGCAGGTCCCTCCTGCTCCTCTGTGACCCAGACAAGCCACAGCTCGTCGGACCCGCTCACAGGATGCTCCCAGAGCACGGGGCAGTGGAGGTTATCCCCCAGCAGCAGGAGAAGAGCCCAGCAGCCCGCAGAGGTGGAGCCCCGGTGTTTCACTGCTGTACCCTGAGCACAGCCGCCACCTGTGAGCCCGGAGCCGGTATCAGCACCGGGCTGGCAGTGCCAAGGGGACTGTCACGGCTTGGGAAGCAGCACCGGAGCTGTGACCCACCCAGACCGCAGAAGAGGCGGCCCCTGCCGTCTCCAATGCCTAGGGAGCGCTCGGGGCTCGGGAATCCTCGCGGCCTTGCGCGGCCCCGCATCACCGCATCCCCCGTCTGCTGCGTGACTCATCACCGACACAATGGGCGGCGGCACAAAGCGCCGCTCCCGCCGCTCCGCCCGAGTCCCCGCACCGGGGCCGCAGCGGGAGCGGGGCCGGCGCCGCTGTCCGGCAGCCCCGCGAGGGCGGCTGCCCCGCCGCGCCCGGCGCTGCCGCTCCGGCGTGCCCCGGGGCACGGATCGCCGCTCGCCGAGGGCCGGGGCGGCCGAGCGGGCAGAGCGGCGCGGGGGCCGCGGGCGGGGGGCGGCTCGGCGGGGGCGGCACCGCGGGGTTCCCCGGCCCCTCCCGGCGCCCCGGGCGGGCCCCGCAGCCCCCGGAGGGGCCGCGCGGGGCGGGCCCGCGCGCACGTGGTGGCGGGCGGGGCCGAGCGAGTGACGCGCCAGGCCCCGCCCTCCCGCCGGCCGGGGACACGCAGCGCGCGGGGCGGGGGCGGCGGCGCCCCCGGCGGGAGCGGGGCCCGGCCGGGGCAGCCCCGCCCGCACGGAGCCCCCGCCGCGCCGTCCCCGAGTTGCCCCCCCACTCCCCGACACTGCCCCGCCCGTGCCGAGCCTCCCCGGGCCGGATCCCGCCGGCAGCGCAAAGCCCGCGCCGGTTCCCCGGCAGCGCTCCCCAGTGCCAGTGCCCGTGTCGCCCCGGCCGGCCGCGGCTGTCAGGCGCGGCCCCGCGAGGCGCGGGCGGGCGGTCACTCACCACGTGCGGTCTGCTGCTGCTGCGCCTGCCACTCCAGGAACCGCGCCGCCTCCAGCAGCGTCTCGATGCTCATGGCGCGGGCCCGGCCACCGCCGCCGCCGCTGCCGCCCGGAGCGCGGGCCCGCCCCGCCCGCGCCGCCCCGGGCTCGCCCCGCCGGCCGCAGCGCTGGCGACAAGATGGCGGGTGGCAACAGAAACACAACAGGCGGGCGCTGGCGCGGCCCCGCTACTACGCGGCGGGCGGCGCCAAGACGCGGACTGGAGCGCGGGGCGCCACCCGGACGGGACGGGATGCTCGGGGCTGCGGCGGGCGGCCCGTGCCGGGGACGCGCGGACACGGCCCCGCAGCTCCGCCGGTCGCGCGGGGCGGGCGCGGCTCGGGCCGGCCCCGGGGCGGCCTCTGAGGCGCTAGACGTAGCGGCGGCCGGTCCGGTCCGGCGGCGGCGCGATCCGGGCGCCGCGTTTTGCGGGCGGCGCTCCCCCCGCAGTGCGCTCGCGGCCCGGGGCGCGCTGTCAGCGCGCGCGGGCCAATGGGCGCGCAGCACAACACGCGTGCTGCCCTCCACATGGGCGCCCCGCGCCGCCGCGCGCCTTAAAGGGGCCGCGCCCGCCGCGCCCCGCGCACGTGCGGGCCCGCCGCCCCCGGCCCGGCTCCCCCGCGCCGCCCCGACACAACCGCGCCCGGCCCCGCTCCGCCCCCGCGGGGCTCCCGCGCTGTGTCCCATCCCTGCGGACCCTTCCCGAACCGCCCCGCTCGCAGGCTGCGGGTGGCTGAGGGCTCACGGAAAGGAAAAGCCGAGCCCTTTCTGTGGATAAAAGCACGGAAAAGAGGGAACCCGTGTGAAAGGGTCAGCACACGCAGTGCCTGCTCGCCGGGAACCCTCACACTGCGGCTTGTCAAGTTACCTATCGTGAACAGCGCCTTCCTTTACACGGCCCCTTTGTCAGTAGCTCGCAAAACTAAATTGAACTTCAATTATCCACAAGTAAATTTTCCATTCTAAGTATTTACCTCTGACTGACTTCTGGTTTTTAGCTGGGAAAAGATACTGTAGTAAAGGGAAAATAAACTGTTTAGAAAAACCAGTGCTTCTCATGGAAGGAATGAGATTTTTTTTAAAAAACCAGGTTTTCATGCGAGAATTTTCATTATACTTACAAACATTAAGGAATTTACAAACCAAAAGATACTCTGAGGAATGGCCACTGAAGGGGGCAAGCCCAAACCCTTGTGAGATGGGCTGTACTGGTTTGTGGAGCTTGGGGCTGACTCTAAAGGTGCTTCTGTTTGCCACTGCCCGTGCTGGGCGCTCAGGGCGATGTCTGGTCCTCGCCCAGCCTGTGACTGGTGGCCTCATGCACTGCACGTCCATCTGCTCCTCCTCTGCAAATGTAAGGAGTCATTTCCTCCTGGGCTTTGCCATGAACTCATCCCTGTGTTATCAGAATTCCTCACAACAGTAATGACGGTAGTGTCATCACACATGAGCACAAGAGATAGATAAAATACAGATGTAGATCAAGCCTGGCCAGAAGAACTCACCTGGGGTACCTTTGGGCAGGTGTAGCTCATGGAGGGACAAGCTCCTTTCTCATGGGACTTTTCAGCTGCTTTCCCATCATCTCTGCAAACCGCCTCCCCAGCTCCTCCCAGCTCCCGCAATGAATGGAAGAGTTTTCCCACCAGGAATGCCTTCCATCAGCCAGCCCAGCTCCCCAGAGCAGGCTGTGTGCTGAGCTCAGCCTGTGTGACACAGCGGGAGCGCTGCTGCAAGTCACACAATGCACGTGGCCTCAGGGAGCTCAGCAAGAGCTCCTCCAGGGCTGACTGAATCTGACATTTCCCGAGTTCCTCCTCCCTTTGCAGCCTGGCTGTACTCGGGTATTTTGCATGCGTTGTGTGTGACTGTCACATTCCATAGCCGGGCTTTCTGATGCCAGCAGAGGAGCTGAGGGTGGCCCAGCACCCTGCAAACACAGCTGGAGAGCAGCAGCGAGCCCCGCTGGGACACCCACGGCTGGGGCTGGCTGTGCTGTGCTGTGCACGCTGCAGGACTGTCACTCTGCAGGGCTCAGACTGGTCAGCTGGCACTTCAAAAAGCTGGACACCCTGACAACAATGTGCCTTGGACTTCTGTCAGAGGGGAGCACGCAGCTGGGACAAGCACCTTGCAGTCCGAGCTGCTGGTGTGGGCTGCAGTGTTGCAGACCAGATCTGCCTTTGCAAAGTGCAGTGGCTGCAGGTTCCATCCCCAACCAGCTCCCTGTGATCCTACAAACCGCTAGGGTTCACAGTGCTCTTCTACACGGACTCGGTTTGAAGAAGGAATTGCTATTCTGCCATCAAACCTGCTGTACAAACTGCACCTCCTACCCCAGGCTCTGCCTGCAGTGCTGCAGCCCAGCCCAGAGACCTGCAAGGGCCGCACACTCTGCGGTTTTCGTGGGTGAGAGAAAAAATCCCAAACAAGACAACAGAAATGAGTCATTAGAGGAGGTTATGGAGCATGCAAGAGGCAGTGCTCTGACTGGCAGAGGGTGCTTGATTGAACACAGCTTTTGAAAGAAACATTTTCAGGTGCCATACAATAGTTTAGTCCTGTGCTGGGTTAATGCTTTAGCAGGAGGCAAAACACTCCTGCCTGCTCACATCTTTTGCAACACTAATCTCCAAGGAGAGTTGTTTGTTTTGAAACCTTGAGCTCTGTGGGCTCTTGACTGCTAAGCTGGCTCCTAGCTTTGGCAGCTCACAGTAGAAATCAGCGTCATTAAACATTCATATCGGAGCGATGTTTCCTGATTAAATTTATTTGTTGCAAGTTTTTGGACCTGGCTGATGGAGCAGCTTGGGTACACATCCAGAATCCATCAGCTGTATATTCATCTGCCTCTGGAGGGCTTTATGGAAGGGTTTTCGCTGAATCATTTGACTCTGTTACTGGGGACAAACCAGAATACCTAGATTATCTGGGTTGACTTTGTGAACACTTTAGGGACAGTGTTTAAAACATTTGCATATGGGTTAGAAATGCCAAGAGGTGCAGTTTCTACACCATTATGCTCGACTCTTGGGAAGAGCAGGCCCTGGGCTACCTGCACAGCCCAGACACACACCTCAGGGCAGCCAGAGGCAGAGGGGCTTGGTCTGCAGTCAGAGCTGTCCTTCCCGTCAGGCTGCCCAGCCTCGGGGACTCTGCTTGGGGTTAGACTGCTCCTCCTCACCTGGGCTACTCCTGACAAGAGCCCATGGGCAGGAATCTCTTCCCAGGAAGAGAAGGCTCCTGTGGCTCCTGAGCAGGTGGCACTGCTGGAGCTGCCACACCCAGTCCTGCACTAGGGGGACAGGGGCCTCTTCAGTTTCCACCTGTGGTTTTAAAACTTTCAGTCCAATCCTTTGACTGATGGTTTTTTTCATCTTCTGTAAATATATAACCTTTGGTCTCCTTATAAGCATGTACAGTTTCCAAGGCAAGCCTTTTTACCTGTTTTGAGGGATTGCCCAGGGCATTTTATATTCTTATCTGTGTATTATTTCCTGTTTAGTCATTCCTTTAGATCGCATTGGATGATACTCAGATGGCACAGATATTGATCTCTACCATGTTGTGGCTGTAGTTGAGCCTGAAGGAAATCACTCCGAAACATTCCAAGTGGTGAATTTGGATAATGCCTTAATCATAAAGCTTGGCTGTTGTAAATACCTTTGTTTTGAGAGTTATTGACAGCATTATATAAAGTTTGAATGGGCTTAGATTTATTTAGATAAAATGATGATGATATTAATATATAGATAGTGCAGGAAAAAGCAGCAGTGTTTATGGAGCTCATCATCTTCCCTTTTATCCACCCTTCTCCCCCTGACAAAAAAGACAAGATTTGAAAGGAGATGAAAAATTTCCATTTGAGGATGACATTGTCTTACAATGGCACAAGGCTCACCTAATACCCTACACATATCCTCTACTAGGGATGTGATGGATGTTAAAAAAACACACTTCAGCTGTGCAGATGTGGAAGAATAACTGCAATAATGCTGGAGATCTGACAGTCTCCTTCCTGCTCTTCTGCTTGTTTCCTTTCTGCTGTGCAGCAAACAGCTTCTCTGTGCTCAAGCATCCTCAGGATTTCTGCATCCCATGACTGGCAGTGAGTTTAGCTTTCTGGCAGTATTCATCTCTGTGACTTTTCCCCCAGCTCAGAAATGACTCTCATTAATTCCCTGACTTTTCTGAGGTCACAGAACCCCTGTGAGCCAGGGCATCATCCCCAGTGCTGGTGGCTGTGCCGGGTCTGAGCTCTGTTTGCAGCCTGGGTTGAAAACTCTCAGCATCCATCTGCCCCAGCTGGGCTCCACATCCCAGCTTCCAGCACAAGGGAATTCTGCTCTTCCCTCACTCTGAATAAGCAACTTTTGAGCTCAGGCATCTGAATAATCTGTCTGGAGTCACTGGAATGTGTGACTGCCTAAAGTTTTATCTCCTGGTTAAATACTTCGTTGCTCAGAGCCTAAATTACAACCGAACATGAATTATTAAATGAGTGTTAATTCACCCTTTTCAGGCTTCACACCAAATAAGAAATCCCCCCAACTGTGCTCACATGAAAGCAGGAGTTTATCTCAATATTTTAATTTTGAAATTCAAGCACTGAAAGCAGAAAAACCCACAAGGGTGAAAATAATTAGTGCTGTTTCTTACTGAACCATTCTGACTTTCTCTGTAATTCTTTTATTTAGAGTTTTAATGATGAATAAAATCTTATTGTAAATGTTTAATCGTGGAGAGTGGTTAAGCAGGACACGTGTGATGAACAGGTCTTACTCAGATCTGCTGAAATGGCTGAAAACTCTCCTGACACCCAACCTGGGGCAGCGCTGACACAGGACTCACTCCCCAGGTTCCTCCTGGTTTTACCCAGTAATCCCTGTACTGGGTCTCGAGTTCCCCGTCCAGGAACTTCAGCACAACATACGGACAGTTTTTATTATACCAATAATACATAATTTGTAATATTTCTGCTCTAACAGCACACGCTGCTGCAGATGAGCTCAGGGGAGGACCCAAACCCTTGTTGGCTCC